TTTAGAGCTGCAGGTCCATGGGTTTTTATCCTTGTTGCAGGGGCAACAAACACCTCCCCAGCTGAGGAGAGGGGTTGGAATGCAGGGAAGGTTTTCAAACAGCGCTCTCCTGGTTCTCACTGCTGCTCTGAGTAAATCTAACCTGCTTAAGGCAAACCCCAAACTTCAGAGGGCACGAAAACAAAACCTCCTCATTTCCTGCAGCGGCGAGGTTTGGAAAGGAAATGTCAGCCAGCCTGGAAGCAAATCCAGGGTTAGTTTGGGGTGATACAATTTCTTTACCTTCCCAAGAACTAATCCCATAAAAAAATGCGAAGGTACAGAATCAGACTGCATATTCTGAACATAAACAAATCCACTCCAAAGCAGGGCCCCTCTTCCCTTACCCACAGACCCACCTCCCACAAGCTCCCGAAAAACCAGGGGGATCTGTGCTCACATGGAGCAACATTTGCTTTCTACGGCATTTAAGAAGTCTTGGACGAGAGCAAACACGGAATTCTTTATTAAACAATCAAAGACAACAAAAGCAAGTTTCTGTTGTCCCATCGCATTATCCCGCTAATCCTCTCTGGATGGCAACCAGAAGCCCCCGAAATGCCAAGCTGGGAAGGGCCTTTCCAAGCACTGGTTGCCTCTGGCTCTTTGGCTGCGCCTTCAGCTTTGGCAGAAAGGAGAAATGAGGAATTCCCAGTGTTGCCTGATGATTTTTGCTTTTCCATTTTATGCTTTCTGTACCCTCTATGCATCTGCCTGTACCCCCTAATCCACATGCTTGTAATTCCTAAAGGCTGATATTCCAGCTTGGTTTAGGAGTTCTGCTGGGCACAGACCAAACATCCTGAAGAAAAAGTCAGTGTACCCTGTGCTATCTTAAACCTGAAACTTCAGCCTTGGGTGAAGCCTTCTCTCCGAAACATCTTGTGTAAACTGGGCTCTGGCCTCAATGAGAAAAGATTCACTAAAATAGAGAAAAATTACTGCATTTGTTAAGTTTCTTATTGGAGAATCCTAAATAGATATACTAATTCCTAAAACCTCTAAAACTTGTACCCGTGGTGCACACATGAAAGCATTCTGCCATCAAATTGTGCACCTGGAATCCCAAATACCAAAGTAAAACCCTTTTTATCCCCTTAACTGTGTCTGTGTCATTATTAAAAACTGGCCTTTCAAGGCAACACCAGCATCCAGGGCTATCCCAGCCTGCTCCATTTTAGGGAAAGGGTGCTTTAATTGCAATATTAATTGTAATATTAATTGTAATATTAATTGTAATATTAATTGTAATAATAATTGTAATAACAATTGCAATAATAATTGTGATAAACCCATTTTGCCTCCTCTGGAAGGAGCAGGTGGGTTGCTACTCCTGCATTCCAGCTCAACAAGTGCAGTTCTGGGCTCCATCTGCTGCTTTGCCAAGCTCAGATCAGAGCTGGCATCAGCAGGTACTGGAACACCAGAGCCCAGAGGGCTGTTCAAACACAATTCTGATGGGTTCTTTCCTCCAGAACTTCTCCAAAAACACATCAACACATCCTGCACCTTTCCCCAGCTACTTCTTACACAGGAAATTCAAATGGGACGTGAGCACGGCAGCCACATGGCACTTAAACCATAATTTAACAACCCATTCATATATCAATCAGGGTATTTATATCATTTTATATCAACAGCACAGAGCTGAGATTGACACCTGATGATCCTTGAGGTGTTTTCCAACCCAAACAATCCTCTGCTTCTGCTTACACACAGCACAGAATTAGAATGACATTGAAAGTGGGTGATAATTAGGGGCAAAAATGACTGATGGTGGTGGGGACAGAGCTCCTCAAAGTGTCTCATCAAACTGGGGGCTGCCATGGAATATTGTAATTAATTAGACTCAAACTGGTGAGGAAATGGAGCCCCAAAGTGGACAGGACAGAGCCACATTTTCCTGCAATAATCAAATTACAGCAACAAGTTTGTGCACCCTTTAGTGGGGACCTGCAGTTCCCAGCAGGAGCCACCCCAAAAGCCAAATTTCCTGGTGGCACTTCCAAGGYTGTGGAAGCACATTGTGCCCTGATCCTAAAATGGACCTACCAAAGGGATTAAATCCCTCTGCTCCTCACTTTTGAAGCTGGAAATCCTATGGCAGAAGGCTCAATTAGAAGCCCTACAAAGCAATGTTACACTTTGCCGAGTTGGTCATTATTTTTACATTCTGTCAGAGGGAATAAAACTCTCATTTTTTATACTTATATATTTTTAAAAACAATTAAGGAATTTGCTTCCAAACGATTAAAGAAACAAATGTACTGAAGAATCAAAAATAAGGAATCACGACTTTAAGAATGAAAGGTTGCCCAAAATTACTCTTTAGTTGTTACTGGGCTGAGTTTTAACAAGTCCCTATCAAATCAGGACATTCCATGATTTTATGAAATCTCATGGAAAGGAAAAGTCGTGGTGCAGTCATCACAATTTCCCAGATGTGTTCATCACAGAACAGGGTGTACTCTGGGGCACAGAAACACCAAATTCACTGCCCAAATCAGCCCCTGACAGAAATTCAGAGTGGGACTGGAGAGCTCAGCTCTTGCAGGCTCTGCCTGGATGTAAATACAGAGGAACTACTCCAGTCCAAGGAAAACAGATGAAATTTTAATCAAATGAGCCTTGTATTGGTTCAGGGGAACTGAAAATAGGCTAAAAATAAAAATAAAAAAAAATCCAGCAGAAGAATGACTTTAATATTGGGTAACATTTCAAGTTTTTATCACCTAAATCCACAAAATTCCTGATCTGCTCCTGCTTGTCTTCTCTGCAGAGCTGGAGTCAGGACCAGCTAAATAAAAGATAATGCAACTAGGCATAACACAATAAAAGATATTACCTTCCCAATGCATTATTGCTGCCAATTATAAGAATCACTTCAACTTAATTTCAAAGGCACAATCACCCTCAACTGTAACAGTCTCTTTTTTAAATTTCAAACAGTATTACATTAAGGCAATAACTCACCTTCCAGCTATAATATCAGTCTCCCTTATTGCAAAAATACATTTCATAAATACTTCTCATCGACAAGTCAAGCTAATTCAGGTTAATTTTATTGTATTTCRGTGCTATCTCGCATTTGTGTGCAATTACCTTTATCATTTTATTGCCGTGCCAGAAAGTAATCAGAACAATTATTTGAAAAAGGAGGGGTATAAATTCTAAATCACACTTGCTGGCATTTTTGATAAAATAGCAGCTTTATCTCAGGAAGTGGCAGGGACATGGGATAAATCATGCATCAGTCAAGTGTAGCTGACCCCCAAGTGCATTGCACAATATCAGGAGTGCTTCAAAAGAAACTTTCCCATATAATCCATCATTCTTTATAATACCAAAATAGCTCCACCTGAAGAGTAGGAGCTGGAGAATAATAACAAAATAAATCTAAGCAATATGAACAAAACCATTAATAGTGCTCCTTAAGCTGAAGGAGAGTTAGGAATCTGAGGGGTGTGCGGGGAAAGAATTTCACTGAAATTTCTGAAGAGAGCAGGGCAGCAAAGCACAGATTAGGAATTCAGTAAAAATACAAAATAAGGGAAAATAAATACACACAAAAGAGGTGTTGAAAAGATTTGTATAAAAAAAAAAAAACAAGACTGCAGTCCTGGCACACACACATCTGGATTTTCCTACAGTTATCCAYCTCTGCTCAGTTCAGGATAGGGTTTCACTGTCAACAGAGCAAAGCTTTGGGATCAGTACCAGAATTGGTTTACTGAGTTTAAATAGAATAATTACAAAATATCCAGAGAGGAACAGAACGACATCTAGAATTTTCTAGTGAAATATAGAAATATACATATATATTATATATATATATATATATATATATATATATATATACACACACAATATACAATATATAATATATAATATGTAACTTATAACTTATAGTATATAATATATAACTTATAATTCATAGTATATAATATATATTATAGATAATAAACATATATAATAGATAATAGATAATAGATAATAGATAATAGATAATAGATAATAGATAATAGATAATTAATTTTTATAACTTTATTATATAAATTTCATGTCATTTCCAGCTATATCACACCTAGCCTGGAATGAGAGGGAACCAGGGATTCTTCCCACCAAGTATTTCTCTGCTGAAAAGGTGTTTGCAACTGGAAGATGCATAAATAGAACAAAAGAGGTGATTGTTCAAAAGAAAAAAGTGAAGCAAGAATTTATTTACCTGGGTTTCTTCCTCAACCATCCCGTTTTAAGAAACAAAAGCTATTTTCTTTTGTAGAAAAGAGGTAAACAACACAAAACAGCAAAACACTCCTTTTTCTAAGCCACATGACATTATGTAAAGCAGGTTAAAACCACAAGAGATGCCACTATTGAGACATTTAGAAGTTGCCAACAGGAATAGTCAGGAATGTAGGTGTGATCGTACCAGAAATGTTTTCCTAGAGGAGCATCACTAATGTTACAACAATAGATATTCCACACACACAAAAAAAAATAAAAAGAAGAAAAAAAAGTTTCTTCAAAGTTCAACTATTTCAAGGAGTTATGGACTAAAAATGTGTTGATGCCCTTCTTTCAGCAGGGTAAATTGCCTGAATATTGGGAAAAACATCCAGGTTGCCTTGTTTTACACAATACCACTGACCTAAACTTAAATCATTGAAACATCCAGCCTCCAAATTAATTCATTATTAGGGAAACACGGATGGRAACAGCACCAAACCTGAGCAAGCAGGTTATTTATGCTGGGTGGCAGATGGAAACGTGCTGGGAAAGGTCCACTGCTGCCTGTTTGTGACCATGACAGAGCTGCAGAGATTTACAGTGCAGCATCAATCTTGTCAGCTCCGTTCCTAATCCTGACTGCTGGGCACTGGGGATAAAACAAACCACCTTATGGGAACTCTGTGCTAATGCTGGACCTGCAGAAAGAGGTGATTGCACCAGGAACTTACTTTGAGAGCCAGCCTTGATGCCATYGTGGAGGAAAAAGCTYCACCTGCAAGGAAAAAGAAAAAAAWTCCCAGTTAAATTTATTAAATTATGCACAGGAAGAGGTGAATAGCCATAGTGTCATTTCTCCCATAACCACTTCTGTATGGGTTTTTAAACAAGCTTGGAGTTTCAATACATGGAATTTCCAAAGGGAGTTGGGTTTTTCACAAGCAACATGGAATTTTAATGTTAAGTCACCCACTTGTCACGAGTCAAACAAAAAAAAAATCAACAGATGGCACACTGAAGAGTTCYTCCACAACAAGCACTGCACAGCTCTGATATTTGGAATAAGAATGCCTCGAAAGATAAAAGTATTAATTGAATAATTTTTTACAGGCTGTCACGCACTTCTAAGTGACTGAGGAAAATAAAGAGCCTTTTGTAATTTAGGAAATGCCACATTTTAAGGCATGAAAGTGATTTTAAAGTGAGTCATTGTGATACATTCTGGGTTTAAAAGTACAGATTTCACACCACTGAGTACCTAAAACATTTTAACTTCAATTATTATAATTCTAGCCTTTAACATTATTTATATAATTCAGAAATACAACTTCTTCCTCTCTGCTCTCCCTTTGGAAATAGAGGATATTTCCTATTTCTTTGGCATTTAGCTCCCCACTTTATATTTTTTTCAGTCCCACTCAGTCAAGATCATTCTGTCTTTGCAAGCTGWGTACAAACACTGTATTTTTTTAAAATCAGGGGGATTATGTGCCAAAGCTCAGCTTTAGGATCCTGACTTCAGCCAGCTTCAATGGGAACTGCTCCATTCAATTCAGGGAACTCCATGGGCAGGGATMACTATATCCACTTCAGGAATGACAAATCCCTAAAAATGAAATTGTAAGAACATCCCAAAATCTCTCCAAAACATCAATCTCTGAAGTCCAAGAATTGACAGAACACACAGCCACCTCCCAGCCACTTAAAAGCAAAGGGCAACATTTAATCTTCATATTCCATCTTAAATWAGCTTAAATGTTTAAAATAAAGATGAATAATCAGTGTTTTAACTGTAGTAGCAAGGCAGGCATTGCAAGGAGAGCTCACTGCATTTCTAAATGAAGGTCAGGCAGAYGAGCAATCTGATAATATTACTTAAAATACCTGTGATAGAGCTAAAAATAAAACAKCAATTTATTTCTATCGTCACTTCAGAGCTTTGTCTTTCAAAGCTCCCAGCAAGGCTCAGTTTTTTTAGATCTTCCTGARGTGTAAAGCTGAAATTTTTGCTTCAATAATCAGATTTATCCAGAAGCTCTTTTTAAACTGGGGTTGAGCTCCACCTGCTCACCCAACAAGGCTTTCCTTGGTGACAACAACCAGAAATGTCCAAACCACAGTGGCTGAAAGGTTTATGACAGCCAGAAAGGGGAAAAGCACAAAGGAGCCTTGAAAAGCCCAGATTAGCACTCCAAAATGCATCTCCACCCTGCAAAGCCTGTCCTGGGCTGGAGATCAAAGCTCACACTGAGTTGAAGGGCTCTCCTAAAGCTGTGAGTGAAGGCAAAGAGC